TGAGACTGCATTTTGTTCCTTCTCTTTGTCATTTTGTATACCACTGTCTTCTGACCTTTGGTGTAGAGCTTAGATAGAGTTATTACCTTAGCACCAGATCTGGATCTATGAAGTTCGGATTCCTCCAGGTGTGTGTTGTTTGGATCTGGCTGCTGTGCTCCACCTCTTTCTGCTTCAGCTGTTACAGTTGAACCCTTTGTGTCTCTCTGGCAAGATGTTCTGCTCCTGAATCAGCTGGGTGGGTCTTGTCTCTAGCCTCTTTACAAGGAGTTCTGCTGAAGGGTTCCGCCTTAGACCTGCACTCTGGGTCGAATGAGGATCCACGGCCCCAGGCGGCCTGGGCTCTGGCTCTCTTCAGTATCCGCGGGCCCTGGCAACTCATTCACTCACCAGACCTGCACTCTGGGTCTATTCAGGATCCCGCAGGCCCTGGGCGGTCTCAGTCACATGCTGGGCCTGGGCTCTGGGTCTGTTCAGGATCCCGCAAAAGCCCTGGGTCGTCTCACTCACTCACTGGGCCTGGAAGAAGTAATATAAAGCCAATGGAAAATGGAAATATACTTTTTAAAGTTTTTAATACTAGAAGAAAATATCATACCATGCCTTTTATGATAGACTGTAAGTCAAAGATACAGTACAAATCTTAAAACAAATATTAAGATTAAACACTATTCAGAAAATTAAATATTAATTATTTAAAAATTAAATATTTCAAAACAATTGAACTAAGAAAAAGTTTTCATGATAATAAAGAATTATTAAGACGAAAACATAAGATAAATACTGGAATGGCAAATATATGACCGGCACTTGTAATAGTCTGGGGATAGGATATCGCAAAAAATTCTACTATGTCATGGACATGGACAGTGTCCATGATGCTTACTGGTGGCCAGGTGTCACTTGTGGGACTGAGATACTGCTACTTCTTGATATCTACTCTGTAGACCCAGATAGAATCATGACCCATAGGGTGAGGGAGAAGTCCATTTGTAGAGTGTGCTGATGGAAACAGTTTGCTGCTCTATACAAAAGAATAACCGAAAAAGTACTTCTGGATACATATTATTTGCCTGTGTTTAGTTGTTTGCACTATTTAGTGGGTTCTTTCCATTCTCATTCATGGAGTTGTGGTCATTTTGCTCCCTCTCTAGAATATCTCTTAGCAGTGTGTGTAGGGTTGGCTTTGGTGTCATGAAATTCTTTAGTTGTTCTTTGTCCTGGAAGTATTTCACTTCTCATTTATACTTGAAAGAGAGTTTTGCAGGGTATATCAGTTTGGATTGGAATTTGTTTTCTTGCAAAACTAGTAGTACTTTGCTTCATGCTCTTCTTGGGTGATGGAAGAGAAATCTGCCGTCATTCTCATGGTTTTTCCTTTAAATGTCATCTGTTTCTTTTCCCTAGCGGCTTTTAGTATATTGTTCCTATACTAAATTTCTGGGATCTTGATTATTATATGTCTGGATGTGTTTTTAATTGGGCTGATGTTATTTGGAGTTCTATGTGCTTCAGTTACTGAATGTCAGATTGTTTCCTTGTATTTGGGTAGTTTTCTGCTGTCACTTCTGTCCATATTCTTCTTATATCATTTGCATTGACTCCTTTTTTTACATTGAGGCCTATTAATCTTCTGTTGTAAATATTGCATTGTCTTGATGTTGAATTATTCTTTTCCTGCATCCTAGAAGAGAACTTTTCTTAACTTTTCACTAGCTGCGATGATGTCTTTACTATCTGAAACTCTATTTTTCATTTTCATTCAAATGGTTTTGCCCGCTTCTGATTGAGGTTTTAATTTCCTGCATAACACTTTGAATCTGTTTCATGCATTCTATTTCTTTCCTATATTGCTTATTCAAGGATTCCATCATCTTTCTATTCTCTTCTATTTTTATCAGTGTCTTGTTTTGAAGCACTAAGTACTTCTTTTGATTTAGTTATCATTTCTTTTTTTACTTCAGAAATTATTTCTGATCTGATTTCCTCTATACCTTTCTGCAGTTGTCCCTTTACCTCTGACACTATTATTTCAGAGATTTCAGGTGCGTGATTTCCAGTTTCTGCAATGCTAGCGTCTCCTGCATTTGTTCAGGGTGGGCTCAGGGCCTGAGAATGCATTTTGCCCTTTCTCTTTGTCATTTTGTATAGCACTGTCTTCTGACCTTTGGTGTAGAGCTTTCGTAGAGTTATTACCTTAGCACCAACTCTGGATCTACTAAGTTCAAATTCATACAGGTGGGTGTGGCTTGGGTCTGGCTGCTGTGTTCCACTTCTTTCTGCAGCAGCCCTTGGAGGTAAACCCTCTGTGCCACTCTGGCAAGATATTCTGCTCCTGGATCAGCTGGGTGTGTCTTGCCTCTAGTCTCTTTGCAGGGAGTTCTTCCCCAGGGTCCCACACCGGGCCTGTATGCTGAGCCTGCATAGAATGAAGATCCAGAGGGTATCAGGTGGTCTCACTCATGCAGGGTCTGGGCTCTGGCACAAATGACCATGTTTTCTTTCAATTGTTTGATTGTTTGTTTTCATTCTTTTTTAAAAAAGGTATTTAGTGCAGCGTCTTGGTACTCAGCTCAGACTCATAATGATCCTCCTGCTTTCAGCCTCCCCTGCAGTGGTAGGATAGGTGTGCAAGAGCATGCCCAGTCTTGGTCTCAGGCACAGTGCACCTGAGGGCATGGCCGGCGTGGCTTGTGGTGTCGGTAATTGAACCCCGGTCCCTGTGCTTGCCTAAGCAGGTACTCAGTCTGCTGCGGTATCTTGGTAGTCCTTTCAATTGTTTTAATGTCAAACTTTTTCAACCCTAGGAGACAAGTTTCAAAATATCTTCTGCTGTACTTACTGAAATTGTTTACACAGAAATGTGAGTTGTTTGCCTTTATCAGGGTTAAATTTTTCTATCAAAACATTTATGTCTGCTATTGTCTTTGTGAGAATAAAATTCTCAAAATAATTATGGGATAATTCATATTTTTCATTTCTTTTATTGTGTTTATGAGACATGTTTGTGTAAAATCTATGAACTTTTATTTATTTTTAAGTTATTTTTAAGTTGTTCATAACATACTCATGTCTATTTTATAGAGTATATAATATAGGAATATATTGGTCTGTATTGTCCATTCATGGAGAGCTAATTTTATTTCAGATATTTATTTCATATCTAGGGCTTTATCTGGTTTTTTTTTAAAAGTTAAACAAAAGCAATCTTATTCATTGATCATCCACGAGGCCCACGCTCCCAATAAGAACGTCACATGCGCTTTCAAGATCACAACAACACATTGGAATTCACAAGCATTTATTAAATATTTTCATCTGTTCAATGGTAATTATTAAGCACACTGAATGTAGTAATTAGTTGAGCAAATGTCCCAGCCCTCAAGGGTTCTGAGCTGGATTTTCTTGAAAGCAGAGTGAGGAGGAAGTTCAGTACTTTCTAGGCAGACCTTGAGGTCGGAAGTGGTTGGGGTCTTTGCCACTCCTGCCCCATCTATTGGCAAACTGGTCAGCGGCTGTGTCCTCTGCTCCATGGCCCAGGAAACCCTGAATACCTTCCCTGGTATCACTGTAATCAAGACAGGCAGAATGGAAATTAATCACTAGGCTGATAAACAACAGCTCCATCTCCTTGGGTTCCTCACCCCAGAATGGAAAAAAAAGGAGCTCCCCCACCAAAGCCAAAACTGGGAGGGCTAGGTACTGACCCTGTCTGGAATCTGTTCCCAGTCCATAGTATTTATTTATTTATTTATTTTGTGATACTGGAGATTAAACTGAAGACCTTGCACTTAACAGGCAAGCGTTTATTCTACTGAACAATCTCCCCAGCCCCAAGTCTTTTTTCCCCCTAGCCCATCCTTACATTGTGAGGACAGCACCAGAGATGTAGGACTGGGAATCAGGGACTCCCAGCAGGTGATCAGACCCAGCACTAAGCATTGAGAAGGAGCTGGGGCAAAGTAGGAGGGGCACAGTGTGCACAGGGGACAGCTCCACATGGAAGTGGAAGCCCCTCCAGGGAGTCCAGGCCAGGCCCTCTCTGCTCACCCAGGCCCAGCTCCCCAGGAACCTCCCTCACCTGATCACTTTAGCAGCCCAGGCACCTCCAGGTCCCCTTCGGGCAGCATCGTAGTTCCCCCGTGCGTGGAAGTATTTGTCCGAATTCTTGAAATTGGCTTCTCTCATGTCAGAGTAGGCTCGCCACATGTCTCTAGTCCCTGGGGGGAAAAAGGGGGTTGGAGATGATCCCGCCATGCCCAACAGAGGGATAAAGATGTTTCCTCCAGTCCAAAGACTTCAGCCTTTGATAGAGCCCACAGAAATAAGTGAATATCCTTTTACTTTTCATATTCTGGAACATGCTGAGGGAATCACGACGAGTACAGGTTTTATTCCACTTGATTCCATCTTCCTTTTGTGGCTATTTTGTCTTTGGCTACGTGAAATACGTGTGAAGAAGAGGAGAGATGGCCCCTAAGGGGTGCTTCAGTCTATGAGGTCCCTGTGTGTCACTTCACTTTAATGGCCTACTTGCCTGGATTCAAAGACTCCACGAAGGAAGTGGATCATGGGAGTCATGCTCATCAATGGACTCATTTGTGGATGTCATGACTGCATATGCCTTTAGGAGGCGGGGCCTAGATGAGGTCACAGGGTCACTTGGGTGCTAACCTTTGGAGGTACATTTCTCACTCATCCTCTCCCCTGTGCTCCTATTCCAGGCCCCGTGAGGTTAGCAGTTTTGCTCCACCAGCCCCTCAGCGATGACAGTCTGCCTTGGAGCCAGCCAGCCATGGACTGTCACTGTGAGCCACAATCAACCTCTGCCCTTCAAGTGGGGTATATGAGAGACTGCTGTCTCCATCACCCTCTAGAAAGACCCAGTGAACCTTCTGCACAAGGTGGAGAGCACCACAGGCCGAAGGAGGCTCCAGGCTTAATGTGGTCAGTGGGCCCGCTCCATCCTCATGGGCCGAGTAAGTACAACCCAGAGTACATCTGAATGTGCAGGGCACATTTCTGAGCCTGGACAGTGTCAGAATTCCATCATCAGAGTGAACCAGGCCCAGAAAAATCCAGCATCACATGCTGTCTCTCATATGCAGAAACAAACAAAAGGCCTCAAAGTACAAGAAAGACTATCAGGGAAGCTATAGGGGACCCGGGAGAGGACAGGGGGAAGACGGTTGAGGGGAGCTGGGTAGGATTCAAGTACCATATTTACATTTATGTAACCTTCACGGTGGAGCCCACAATTTTGTAGAATATCATGCATTAATGATTGTAGCTTATAGATGAATTCAGGGAGAGGTTGATAAAGAGGATGTGTCTAAGACAGAATTAAATGAAGTGGATCATCACAAGCAGAAAAAGGACTACTGCCTCGCTAAGCCCAAAACTTTCCTGCTCTTCTTGGTACAGTGCAGTGGCGCTGAGGCTCAGTGGTGTGCAGGAGAACTGAGAAAGTATCTACAGAATGTCTAGAACGTTATAGGCGCTCAGTCATCACTTGGCTCTATGTTCTTACAAATGGAGTGCGAAAAATAGAAAAGGGAGTAAACTATGCCAGTATTAAATGAATTTTTAAAATTTTTACTGGATAACAATAAGGAGAAAAATCTGATGCATAATTCTAATGTGGATTATATAATTTTTCTGTAAGATAGTTGCTCCCAGCCTTATTTATCATACATAAAAATTAACTGAGGTGTTCTTTAAGGGCCAGAGTTCTGCGATCCACGCTCAGATTCTCTAATGTCACTTAGGGCAGGATGTCAACAGTGGCACCCGCACTTCATAAACCCTCCCTGATCCTAATTGTTCTCATGAGTGGTCCATGTTTGAAGGACATTAAAGACCGAAATATATTTCAAGTCATGTGTATGTGTAAGAATTTACAAAGGATCAGAAACCAATTCTTAAAACATCCACTCAGAGGCCACCTCAGCAACGAGTACGTGGGATTTGCAGCAAAGCCTCAGGCATGCTGGGCAAGAGCTCTGCTGCTGAGCTACACCCCCAGCCACCACGCCTGGAATTACGAGTGCTGCATTTTGATGACAAAATCTTGCCACTATAGCGAAAGGGGAGTATTTCTCTTATGGTTGGGTTCCCTTCCATCTCTCAAACTCAAGAGGACGTTCATCAGCGCAATCCATCGTGTCCTTCACTGTGAGCAGAGGAGCTGCAGTTGCCTCCCGAAGTCGCCCTGCCTGGGCACTTGCCATTTCTGAGCTTAAGCACAGGATGTGTGTTCACAATCTCTGGCTCTTATTTTGGAAACAGTTCAGCAAATGCTGAGAAGCAAGTCTACCTGGGTTAAGCCTGC